TCATCTCTTGGTCACTGTAGATAATGTACATGTTGTCATACGCTCCTTCGCTTTCCACTTAATAACCTTCGATAAAGAGCCAATTTCATATCGCTGCCACCAGATGCATTGTTTTCTGGGCTCTTGCCTCAGCTTCTCCGCATTTTTCTCTCCTTGCAGTCAGGGAGGCCCCTCCTCTGTCAGATTCACGGCACCTTTTTTCTTCATCTTCTTGTCAGTGAGGCATTCCCGCGCATTTCACAGAAGGTGTGAGGGTTGGGGCCTCGACTGTGTCCTTCTGCTCAGAATTATTGTTTTCTTCTCCTTCTCTTGTTTCTCTGTAAGCAGAAAGAGGATTTCCTCCGGTCAGTGCAAAGAGAATGAGCGTGTGGAGGGGTTATTTCCTGTAAGTAGCCGCAACTGCTGCTTCGTGGCCTGACTCTTTCCTCCCACACAAATAAGGAATGATCTTTGAAACCGCCCTGAAGTTAGAATTTGTGGATCTCGAGGCAGGCATCGCCAGTGCCAGCCACGCAGGCGGCCGGCAGCACCAACGCTCATTAAAGCCCACACGAGAACTGACTGCCACGCATCATTAAAGGAAAAAACTCTCCGCTCGTGTTCTGAAAGGCCAGCTTGTCCACAGGCAAGCGGCCACGCGTGTGTCTGCCACTGTTATGACAACCCACGGCCGCGTAGCTCTCAGACGCATCTCCCAGTCAGCGGCTTTACAGCACCGTCGTTTGCGCTGCTGCCCGCGCTTTTCTCTTTGAGTTTGTCCTGCTCTTCTCTGCCAGCTATATTTTTGTAGATACTTGTCTCAGTTACTTTTCTCAATGCGGAGACAGAACGCCCAGTGCCCACAAGTGAGAGGAGAAAAGGTCTATGTCTCCGTTCTGTCCAGGTTTGGTCCACAGTCACCACCTGGCTCCAAGGAGAAACTGTCTGTGGTGGGGCAGGGCAGGCAGAAGGCAGCGAGCAGCAAGCGGCAGCCTCCCCCTTTCTGCCCTTCACATTCCATTCAGTCTATGCACCTACTACTGATCGGTACACCCACAAGCAGGGTGGCACCCCCTTAATCCCAGCACCACACAGTAATCCTGATATCTCAACTTTAATTGATACACTTAATTCCATTATAACACTCTAATCTAGCCACCTTTGAAACTCCCCACCCAGGACTGCATGAGGTTTCGGGGCACATCTAGATGCAAGCCAAAAAGGTGCTTCAGAATTTATCTGATGGCATATGCTAAATTGTCCTTTTCTCGTTGTTCATCAAACTCACTTGACGAGAGGCCGGGGATACGGCTCAGTGCAATAAGCGCTTCCCTGGCAAATGCAAGGGCCTGAGTTCAAAACCCAGGTCTTCCAATAAATAAATAAACTCACTTCATTTTTTAACTTTGTGTTCCACTCATAGTAAGCTGGTGCTATTTGGCTTAGATTCAACAGTACTGTCATTTTTTACATTTTCTGAAATCGTACATACTGAGTTTTATTTTATATACATTAACATGTTCAACGTGGGGCTATACAC